TAATCCAAAAGGCTTTACTTTAGTCTCAGGCAGGCTTTTCAGACAATGGCAAAAAGCAGCCACATTCTTCACCAAATATCACAAGGCCAGTCTCTAGGCCAGATCATCCTAACATTCTTCTCCTCTGAAACCTCTTGATCCAGGTACCCTCAGTTCAAATCACACTCAACACCACTATATCTTCCATGGTTCTACTAGGATGGCCCATTAAGCAGCACTTAAAGCATTCCATTGCTTTCCTAATCCACAGTCCTAAGGTCCATATTCCTTCAAACAAAAGCATGGTCAGGCCTGTCACAGCAATACGCTAGTCTTAGTTAGGGTTTCTATTGATGTGAAGAGAACCATGGCCACAGCAAGTCTTTTTTTTTTTTTTAAGCAAGGTCTTTTTTTTAAGATTTTATTTTTTATGTATACAGTCTTGTGCCTGCATGGCACCAGATCTCATTCAAGGTGGTTGTGAGCCACCGTGTGGTTGCTGGGAATTGAACTCAGGACCTCTGGAAGAACAGTCAGTGCTCTTAACCGCTGAGCCATCTGTCCAGCCCACACAGCAACTCTTATAAAGAAAAACATTTAACTGGCTTGCTTACCATTCAGAGGTTCAGTCTATTATCACAGTGGGACCGCATGACCATATGCAGGCAGACATGGTGCTGGAGAAGGAACTGAGAGTTCTCCATCTTGAATGCAGGCCAATAGGAAGTGAGCTCAGACAGTGGCCATTTCTTGAGCATAGGAGACCTCAAAGCCCACCCCACAGTAGCAACCTTCCTCTAACAAGGGCACATCTACTCCAACAAAGCCACAACTTCTAATAGTGCTGTTCCCAATTAGTTTATGGGGGCCAGTTACATTCAAACTACCACAAACTCAAAACAGGAAAAATGAAATGCTTAATCATTTAAAGTTTAAGCTTTTAATCATACACTAAAACTTAGATTATTCTAACCCAAACTGGGAAACAAGGATTAGAAGTATGAAAGCTTATAGATGCCTAAGGATTTCTCCAGGGGTAAGTAACAGTTGACTGGTGAGATGCATATGCTCCTGTACACAGCCCTAGTGAAACTCAGTGGGCCATCAAAACAAAAAGACAGGAAAGTAGTCGGGATAGAGGAAGGACAATAAGAAGTGGGTGAGGGACCAACCAGAAGGTAACTGGAAAGTTAATATCTAGATACACTATGTATGTGTTATGAAATTGTCGGTAAAACCCATTGTTTTGTGTAACTAATACATAGTTATACTAATAAAACATTTAAAAATAATTATTTTGGGTGCTGGAGAGATGGCTCAGTGGTTAAGAGCACTGGCTGTTCTTCCAGAGGACCTGAGTTCAATTCCCTGCAACCACATAGTGACTCACAAACATCTGTAATGAGATCTGGTGCCCTCTTCTGGCCTGCAGACATACATGCAGACAGAACACTGCACACATAATAAACAAATAAAATCCTTTAAAAAATTATTATTTCATCTTTTAGATAGTAAACTGCCAAAATAAAGACATGATAACTAAGAGCAGATGAGGTAAGAAGGATTAGTTACAATGCACAAAATGGTAGAGAAATAACATAAGTGTAGTAAGCATATGATTAACTGCTACCAGACTGGATAAAGTAAAACCCTCCATTAACAAAAGACGCTAAATGATCCAGAGTAAAAGCAAAACTGCAGTACCTACATCTCAAGTGCAGAGGAAGCAGCAGTGACCAATCTATGCAGAACTATGGTTCTGGGGGAAAGGCATGAAACATAGCACTTAAGGCATAACTGAAACTCTCCTTAAGTGCCAAATGGCACACAGAGAAGCTGATTTGGACATGATTGTATGCACCTATGACCCCAGCACTCAAGAGGCCAAGTAAGGCAGGAGAGTAACAAGCTCACAGTCAGTCTGGCCTAGCTACTGGAGCATTTGTCTTTATATATAAAGATAGATATATCCTTATAAGATAGATAGACAGACAGACAGACAGACAGACAGACAGACAGACAGACAGACAGATGATAGACATCTCAGAGGCTACATGTGAAGGGGCCAGCCCCCCCCCCACCTTTTGGCAGCCATGACTGGCTAACATGTGCTCACCAGACCTTGCTGGGCCTGTCCTGGTCACTTGGAGGTCAGATGCCCTCCTCCAGGCAAGGGACCAATCAGAAGTTAGCTAGCAGATCTGTGCTTTATGGCTCTGGGTGTGCTTTACGGACAAGTGCACAACAGTGACTTGCAGAGCATAGCAACAGCCCTGGAAGTTGACCAATCAACACAGGGCAGGTCATCCAAGCCTAGAGGCACACCAATCCTGAGCCTATGCTACTGGCCAATAAGCATTTTATTAAACCAATAAGAGAAACATATTCACAGCATACAGAAGGACATCCCCCATCATCTCATTTCTATCTAAATAAAAGGTTTTAACTTTAACATAGTAAAATTATATATATAACAAACAGTTATAGAGCAAGAACTACAGTTAACAATATTTAGTCCATTAACATTTGGCAAAATTTAAAGAAAATATTCTATTATCTATCCTATCTTTGTGAGTCTAAAGTTTTATGCGTAACTTATCATAACTAAGGAAAACCGTAACTATCTGTCTTCAACTCCATCAAAGACCTCACAAGAATAATATATAAACTCTAGATTTGACAGAGACATCTTCTCACTGCCTAGACAGTCACCCAAAGTTTCTCTGTAATGTTGGGGCATCCATCTTCAGCCCATAGGCCATAATGTCTGGCAGATTTTTTAATAAAGTAGGAAATTTGAAGACCTGCTTTGTCTTGTTTTGGCAAAGTTTGTCAGTTGCTTTCTTCTGTAAAGCAGGAACCCTGAAGAACCATCCTGTCCCTTGGCAAATTCAGCAGTCACTTTCCTTTGTAACCTGCTTGTCTAGTTTGGACAGCATGCTTACTGTCAGCAGTTGAGGCAAGGGCAGTTCTTTGCCCAATAGGCCAGTTTTGCCACATTGAAAGCAAACTCCATAACAAGTTTCTTCAATTCCCATCATTCTTTCTGACATAATTGGTGTTACCAGAAGAAGCTGTGTCTCATTGTCAAGAAAAACTTTAATAAACCATTTTAAATGCCATAGTCTGTAGGTCTTTGAAAGGTTTGGAAGAATGCCTATCCATTTGAAATATATCTCTGTATAACCTAACTGTAAATTTTGACTATTATAAGTGACTATCCACAATCTGTATTTAAATATGCATTACATTTTTTAAAAGAGCTATATAAACACAATACCTAAACAAGAGAAATATACATATAACAAAGTTGACTTTAAATTTGTATCAATAAGCCAAAATCTATGCCATTCATTTCTATATCACATTCCCTTTTTTCTTTAGAAAAAGAAAGACTATGATCATTAACCATTTATAACCGACCCCGTTTTAAAAAAAAAAAAAAACAAGCGTTTATAAACAATATTTGGGAATCTGGGCTTAGATCTCTCCAAACTGCTTCCTGCTGTTTGGGGGTGCTGTCAATCCCATGGGGATCCTCAGAAAACCAAGAACCATGGCCAAATCCTGGCTGTTGGAGTCTGTGAGGCTACATCATCTCAGCTGTTTTGGATGTTGGACCACCTGGGCCACTGCTTCAGTGGGTCTTGTTTGATCAATATTAGACTGGAAGGAATCAACAGCTTTTTATCTTCTTTGGAAACAAAAGCAGTACCTCTTTTCCAAAGTAGCATGTTCTTAGACTTAAATTTTGAAGTCAAGGCATTTTCAAAATAATAGGTTGGATTAATCCTGCAACACTTACAACCAATTGTCTTTTGGTAGCTGTTGCTCCTTTCTCAGCAATCAAACAATTTAAAGACAATACAATAACATACAGTATCCAGACTCTCTGTGTATTTTCCATCTTTACATGCCTTTTTTTATTACTCTATTTCTTTTATTTTTACCTTTTTGGTGTTTTGTTTGTTGGTTTGGGTCTTTTTCTTTTTCTTTTTTTTTTTTAAGGCAAGGTTGTGTAACTTGGCTGCCATTGAACTGACTCTGTAGACCAGGCTGGCTTTGAACTCAGAGATCTGCTTGTCTGGCAGGGCAGGGCATAGTTCAGTGTCATACACTATTTCATACTCGTGTATATTGCCCCCTTCCCACCTCCATTAGTCCTCTTTGTTCTCAACTTGTGGGTTGTGACCCCCAACAGCGCGATGCCAAAAATACTACAGAGTGCACCTCTCTGAAAACTGAACTTTTCCAAGTCGAAAGCAAGCTGCGGGAACCAGGACTACATAGCTGAGCGCAGAAGGGCGGGCACCTGCCAAATCTAACAGGTACCTCACTCCAAACCCCAGACCCCCCTTGGTGAACGGCCCCGCTATACCAGGTGAGCCACAGCCTGAACCGCCCGCACCTTCCCAGGGGGCCAGCTTCCCAAG